CGGACTATATTTTGGGCTGAAATCAGGCGGTTTCGGTGAAGCGCAGCCGCCGCCGCCCCCGCAGGCAAATGAGGGGTTATTTTTGGGGCGAAAACACGCGGTTTTGGTTCAAAATAGCCCTGAAAATCCGGCGCAGGTGGCGGCTGCGTTTCGGGTCGGTTTCCTTAATTTGAATGAAATTCGGGCAAAATAAAGGGGGTGAGTGAAAAACAAAAGTGTTCCGCCAGCCCCAAAATGAGGGATTTTGGTAAATAAAGGGGATTAAAACCTGATTTTTTAAATCGGGATTAATTTTATCGATTCGTTTTGTGTTTGATTGAATTTATTTTGATTTTCTTATTAATTCTTTGCTTTTTATTCCTGTGTTCGTCTGTTTAATTGGCTTTAATGTCATTTAATTTATTTTTATTTCATGAATTTAATTTATTTTTCTTTTTCCCCCAAAATTGTTTTCTTTAATTTGCTTTTATTTCATTTCATTCCCTTTTATTTCTTTTATTTTATTTAATTTTCCCCATTTCTTTTCTTTCGTTTCTTTTCAGGCACTCATTCCCTTGATTTTATCCCAATTATTTAATTTAATTTTAGATCATTTCTTCCTTTTTAATTCGTTTATTTCCCTCATTTCTTTTTCTTCTCTTTAATTTATTTTCAAACATTTATTTCCCTCATTTTATTCCATTTATTCCTTCGATTTTTATTTCATTTCCTTTTATTTAAATTATTTCTACTCCTTTGATTTCATTTATTTTTTAACCATTTCCTTAATTTCATTGAATTTATCGAATTTCTCCTTTTTTTTTGGCATTTATTTCATTTATTTTTATTTAATTTTAAGGAATAAAATAAAGAGAAGAGAGGAAGAAACGGAAATAAACATAAAAATACGTAAAAATTAAATCCCATTTTATTTCTTTTTATTCCGTTTTGTTTTCTTATTCCCTTTTTCCTTTTTTCCCCATTTCTTCTATTTTTTCCCTTTATTTTCTTTTTATTCCATCTTTTTATTCCACTTCAATTTTTCTTCGTTCCGTTTATTTATCCTTTTTATTTTCTTTTATTCCCTTTATTTTCTTTAATCCCATTTATTAATTCCATTTATTAATTCCATTTATTAATTCCATTTATTAATTCCATTTATTAATTTATTTTTTCTATTAATTTTATTCCCTTTATTTATTCCCTTTATTCCCTTTAATTCCCTTTATTTTATTTTCCTCCTCCTCTTAATCCAATTTATTTTCTTCTATTCCTTTTATTTCCTTTTTCTTCCCTTTATCTTCTTTTTATTCCATTTATTCCACAGATTTTTTTTTTTCCATTTATTTCCTTTTCTTTTCCCTTTTTCCCGCGATTTTCTTCATTCCGTTGCTCCGCGGCACCGAGAAAAGAATTATTAAGAATTAAAATCAAGAATAAAATAAAGAAAACAACGTAACGCGTCTTTCTGTTAGAAAAAATAATAAAATTATTAATAATAATCGTCACTAATAATTAAAAAAAAACCCAAAGTTGCCCATATTTAGACTCACAAATGAGGATAATGTAGAATAAATAATAAACATAATAATAATTATAAATTAATAGTGTCCCGACCTCGTCATATTTTCTCTATAAATAAGAAAAATAATAATTAACGATATCAGAAGTAGAGTTAATAAATATCAATAATAAAAAGCACCAAATCACACCTATTTCTAATAAAAATACTAATAACCCCCCCCAATTTTTGGCTAAAATCGAGAAAAAAAAAATATTATTTCGTGAAGATAATAATTATTTCGAAGGAGTTATTATTGATAATACGATATAATACTAATTATATTTTAATAATTTAATTTTAATTAATAGTAAATCGCTATTTTGAAGGAATAATTAAAAAAAAAAAAGGCTTTTCTGCCGGGAATGAAAAGGCGGCGAATAATAAAAATAAAGTAACAGTTATTTTTAATAATAATGATAATGATGATAATGACGATGGTGGTAATGATACTTATGAAGATAATAATAAGAAGAAGAATAATTCGTTCTGCAAAAATAATAATAAAATAGAAATTTCTAATAAAATGAGAAAAGCTAAAAATAGTACAGCTGCTAATAATAATAATAATAAAACAATAAATGAGTAGTTAATAATAATAGTTTATAATAAGAATATAGATGTGTTTCTGCTAATAATGATAATGAAAAATAAGTAATTTGTTCCTCCTAATAATAATAGGAATAGAAAAGAAGGTAGAATGTGTTGATAATAATATCAATAATAATATCAATAATAATGATAATGATAAAAATGATGATAATAATAATATCATCTGGTAATAATAATACCATCTAATAATATCTAATAATAATAATAAAATCTGCTAATAATAATTAAAAAAATAAAGTAGGATGTATTATTGCTAATAACAATGGTAATAAAGTAGACTTATTGCTAATAATAATACTATTAATAAATAAAGTAGTTTATATTTCTGCAAATTAGTAATAGTAGGAATAAAATAGCGAGTGCTATTAATAATAAAATATAGAGACGCATTTCTGCTAATAAAAATACTAATAATAAATAAAGCAGCGCGTATTTCTGCAAGAATGGTGAAATTGACGGTGAAATGGCAAATATTAATGATAATAATAATAATAAACCCTAAAGAATTTGTAATAGCAACGAAATAGCAAATATAATAATGAGAAATAGAATATAAATAATAAGAATAAAATAAAGAAGAGGAAGAATGAATAAAAATCATGTAAAAAGAAGAAGAAATAAAGAATTTCTGCTAATAATTATATTATTAATAAAAATAAGGGGAGAAAATCAAGTCGGTTGTAGTGCGGATAATGGTAAGAAGAGAAAATAAAGTAATAATTATGGTAATAATAGAATAATAATGGTAATAATAGAATAATATTAGCAATAATATAATAATAATAGCAATAATAATAGCAATAATAGCAATAATAATAGCAATAATAGCAATACTACTACTACTACTAATACTAATAATAATAATAATAATTTTTACTGAGGTAGCGATAATAGCAATAAACCAGCAAATGTTTCCCATAAACTAATAATAAAAATTAATCCACCGATTTTTCTCGTTTTCGGGGCTTTAAGTGCAGCTGTGGCTCTCGGCACCTGAATTTCGGGGTATAATTAAATTTATCCCCCAGGTTTCGTCCCGTTTGGGCTAAAAATGAAGTCTATTAGGGCTAATAATTAAATCTGTTAGAGCTAATAATTAAGTTCATTAGGGCTTATAATTCAATTTATCCCCCACCCCCATAAATTAGGCCTAATAATTAAGTCTGTTAGGCCTCATCATTACATTTATTCCCCAGCCTCCTTGAAGCAAGGCGAATAATTAAGATTATTAGGGCTAATATTTACATTTATTCCCCATCCCTCCTAAATTAGGGCTAATAATTAAGTCTGTTAGTGCTTATAATTAAATTTATTCCCTGACCTCCTTCAACGCAGGCTAATAATTAAGTCCGTTAGTGCTTATAATTAAATTAATCCCCCATCTCTCCTAAATTACGGCTAATAATTAGGTCATTAGGGCTAATAATTAAGTTTATCCGCCAGCGCCTCTTAATTAAGGCTAATAATTATTAGGGCCAGGTTCTGGTATGATCCCAGGTGCTGGGAGCGGTCACAGTTTGGGGCAAATGGCCGAGATTTGGGGCAAATAGTCACAGTTTGGGGCAAACGGTCAAAATTTGGGGCGAATGGTGGAAATTTGGGGTGAACGGTCAAGATTTGGGGCAAAAGGTCGTGCTTTGGGGACAACAGTTGAGGTTTGGGGCAAAAATGGTCGAGTTTTGGGGAAAATGGTAAAGTTTGGGGCAAATGGCTGAGATTTGGGGCAAAAGCATCGAGGTTTGGGGCAAACGGTTGAAATTTGGGGAAAAAGTTGAGATTTGGGGCAAAAATGGTTGAGGTTTTGGGAAAACCATTGAAATTTGGGAAAATGGTGACATTTTGGGGCAAAACCAGTCGAGATTGGCTGCGAATGGTCAAAGTTTGGGGCAAAACCAGTTCAGATTTGGGGGAAACATTTGAGATTTGGGGCAAAACAAGTCGAGATTTGGGGCAAAATGGTCGAGATTTGGGGAAAATGGTCAAAAGTTGGGGCAAACGGTTGAGTTTGGGGGCAAAAGGTTGAGATTTGGGGCAAAACCAGTTGAGGTTTGGGGCAAACGGATGAGGTTTGGGGCAAATGATCGAGGTTTGGGGCAAATGATTGAGATTTGGGGCAAATGGTTGAGGTTTTGGGCAAAACCTGTTGAGTTTTGGGGCAAAAACGTTTGAGGTTTGGGACAAACGGATGAGATTTGGGTCAAAAGGTTCATTTGGGCCAAATACAGTCAAAGTTTGGGACAAATGGATGAGATTTGGGGCAAAAATGCTCAAGATTTGGGGCGAATGGTTGAGATTTGGGGGAAAATGGTTGAGGTTTGGTACAAAAGGTCGAGATTTGGTGCAAAAATGGTGGAGATTTTGGGAAAAAATGCTCAAGATTTGGGGCGAATGGTTGAGATTTGGGGAAAAATGGTTGAGGTTTGGTACAAAAGGTTGTGATTTGGGGAAAAATGGTTGAGATTTGGGGCAAAAATGGTCAAGATTTGGGGCGAATGGTTGAGATTTGGGGAAAATGGTTGAGGTTTGGTACAAAAGGTCGAGATTTGGGGAAAAACGGTTGAGATTTAGGGAAAAAATGGTCAAGATTTGGGGCGAATGGTTGAGATTTGGGGAAAAATGGTTGAGGTTTGGTACAAAAGGTTGAGGTTTGGTGCAAAAATGGTGGAGATTTGGGGAAAAATGGTTGAGCTTTGGTACAAAAGGTTGAGATTTGGGGAAAAATGGTTGAGATTTGGGGGAAAAATGGTGGAGATTGGGGGTGAATGGTTGAGATTTGGGGAAAAATGGTTGAGCTTTGGTACAAAAGGTCGAGATTTGGGGAAAAACGGTTGAGATTTGGAGCAGATGGTCAATGTTTGGGCCAAATGGTCGAGAGTTGGGGTGAAGAGTGGCGGTTTGGGGCAAAAGCGGTCGGCGTTTGATGCAAAGAGTTGCGATTCGGGGCAAAAAAAGGCGGAGGTTTGGTGCAAGCGGTGGAGATGTGGACCGAAAACGGTCGATGTGGGGACGCAGCGCGGGGATGGTGGGACGCGGTGAGGGGGTTGGTGGTGTCGCCATAACCGTCAGCGTCTTTGGCGCAGTAGTAGGTGGCCGTGTCCTCGGTCTTGAGGTTGTTCATCTGCAGCTTCAGAGTGCTCTGGGAGTTGTCCCTGGAGATGGTGAAGCGCCCCTTGACCGACGGCGCGTACCATGTGCCACCACCACTGGTATTAATTTCCGCAACGTCTTCGATCCCCTTCCCGGGCGCCTGTCGCACCCAAACCATGCCGTTGCTGCTGAAGGTGAAGCCGGAGGCCTTGCAGAGGAGGGTGAGGGACCCCCCGGGTTTCTGGAGACCCCCTCCGGACTCCACCAGCTGCACGGCCGCCCGCAGCCCTGGGGAGGGAGGAAGGAGAGAATGGAGCCGCCCGGTCCCGCCGTCGCGAAGGGTCTGGGATGGGTAGAAGGGTCTGGGATGGGTGGAAGGGTCTGGGCTGAGTAGAGGGGTCCAGGATGTGTCGATGGTTCTGGGTTGTGTTGATGGGGTTTGGGGAAGATGGTGAGAACTGGGGACACAGTGCAGGGATGGTGGGACACGGTGATGTGGTTATGGTTTCTACCACCATAATCAGCTTTGGCGCAGTAGTAGGTGGCCGTGTCCTCGGTCTTGAGGCTGTTCATCTGCAGCTTCAGAGTGCTCTGGGAGTTGTCCCTGGAGATGGTGAAGCGCCCCTTGACCGACGGCGCGTAGCATGTGCTACTACCATCCCTGCTAAT